AGATCTATTAATACAATCTTCAACTATTCTGCAGATTATAGTCTGAATAGCACATTTTTCTTTTTTGAATAGTTCATCTTTTTTGAAAAGACTCTTATTTTTATTAAAGATATTTTATTTTTTCTGAATCTGCTGATCAGTAGATTTATATACTTTATATTTTTAAGAAAGTATATTCTTCATTGTAAAGAATATCATTTTTTTTTATATATTTAGAAGAAGCAGAGTCATCTTAATATAAGTAATATATCTACTACTTCAGAGTTCAGCTCAAGACTCAAAATTACATACTCTATTAGATAACTTATTAATAGAATAATTACTTATTATAAGAAGACTTCTGACTTATAAGATAAGACTTAGATCAGTTTTCATCAGAGTATGAAATTTAATAATGAGATAATAGAGAAACTTTAGAATAAAGAAAAGCAGAGTTAATATTCATCTATAGAATCTGTTCATTTGAATTTATTAAATTCTTCATTATTTATCATCTCTGAAATACTGACTTTTAATAGTCATTTAAATTAATCTATCTATTGCACTGTAGATAATCTTATAAATCTTATACAGATAATACTATAGAATTAAATACCTGCAGCTGAAATCACTTAATATCTCACTATATCTGTTTCTGTATAAAGAGACATTATGAGAAATGAGTTGTAGAAATATTAGAAGAAAGTTAAATATACATTAGATATTAAATCAGGAATTTCATTTAATAACTCTACTTATAAAGTCTGATATATTAATATATTAACTGATGTGAAAGTTATTAATAAAACTGACATTCTATTGAGAACTTAATAAGAATCTTCTTTTACATGATATATTAATTCTGAGAAGTGAAAGATCTGTTTCAAGTCTCTATATAGATGTATACTGTCAAGTCTTGTTAGAAATGTTTAAATCACTATTGAAATTCTCAGACATGCTGTCATCACTACAGCCTCTACACGAACTCGCTCAATTTCTCGAATAAGAACCCGCCGATAGATCCATTGAAAAGCCCTCGTTCATACAAGCATTTTGACCCCATCGCCGACCGCATACCCCGTGTGGTGGTGGAGTTATCCAGCCAAACATGAACCAGACAGTGTTTAAAACTCCTGTGTGGGATTATCCCCCATTCTCCCCTACCACACCACAACCCCGGGCCAAATTGCCATACAAATTGTAAGATGAAGAGACCTAGCCATATGCACCAATCTTCTTGATTTTGAAAGATCCCTGATCTGTAGTTGTGAAGATATCTGAGAAGTGACCTCCGCGAAAACCCTGTCCATCTTTGATGTTTCAAAACATCAACACCAAGTCCCACCCTTGTACCGCCCTTCCTAATCTGGCCCATCTCCGGCAGAAAAATACCAAAAGATACCTCAGCAATAATATCAAGCACATAATCAACAGTCACTTCTGAAGTGCAATCTTCATGATCTGTCTTCAGTGTATCTAGACATCAATGCCAAGTCTCACCCTCATATCACTCCTCTCAATCTGGCCCATCTCTGACAGAAAAGTACAAAAAGATATCTCAGCAACTGTATTTAATACATAATCAGCAGACACAATAACTATAAAATCAGTATATCTTAAGATCTGACTGAGTCTTTGATCTCTGTATAGTGAGATATATTAAATATAGTTTTAATATCTCAATATTCAATAGATTCTGCAAGGAATTGAGAACACTAACACTAGATTTCTATTGAATTTGAGAATTAACTCTATATTGATATAATCATTGACAAAGTCTTCTATTTTAAGATATAAATAACCAGTTTCTCTACATTTCACTGACAATATATATATTATTATATAGAAACAGACTTATATTCTCTATAATATCAAGACTCTGAAGAGAGAAAGTCTTGATAGAGAGTATACAGTAGTGTATATTTTAACAGTTTCTATCTCATTCTTCTGCAGCAGTTAATGAAAAAAAAAGATCTTAGAAATAGTTTTTTACTTCTCTTGAAAAAGTAAGATGTTTTTCTCTGAGTTTTATACAATATTCTTATAAAGAATTAAAAACAGAGCTGTTTTCTATTATAATTTCATATTCTTTTAAGTAAGAATTACTTTTTCAGTGACTGAAGAGCTTTCATTAATACTTAATTCTTTTTTATACTCTTTATTAACTGATTTGAGTTGTACACTTGTTGTGTGAGGAGAATTGAATGATTTAGAATAAAATTGAATGATTTTAATTAATTTTTCTGCAAAAAATTGATTTATTTTTTGTCAGTTTTTCTCTTAAAAACTGTCATATTATCTGATTTATTATTAATTGATATTATATCTTTCCTCACTGTATCTCAAGAAAGAGATTGTAAAGATTTTATTAATTTATCTTAAAAATCAATTTTAGTTTATTAGATTCTCTTCAAAAATCTAACCTAGTTACTGAACTAGTGTGAAAAAATCAGGTGTTTTATACATAAAAGTCTTTTATTCTTCTTTTGAAACAGTCTAATCAACTTTCAATTGAAAACAGACTTAGAAACCTCTTAATTGAAAAAGTCTGATCAACTTTTCAAAAGAGTTTAATACATATCTCAATTGAAACAGTCTGATCAACTTTTCATTGAGTGAGAAAAATGTGTTCAAAAATACACTCAGTTAATGTGAAAAAAGATGCTTTCTCAAATGATATTCCTGAGATTGAAATTCTGAAGAGAAGAAAGAAAGAAGAAATAGAGAAACAACAAGTTCTTGAAATACAGAAACTTGAAAAAGCAAGCAAGATTCTTGAAAAGCAGTGTCTGAGTGAGATAAATGAAGAAGTTCTGTTAATTCTTCATGCTCAGAATAGACAACTACAGGAGATGATCAAGTTCAAACTCAGAATTTCAAACACAGTTTAAAAAACATTGAAAATTTTCAGTACAATCACTGACTTCTTATCTTACTCTTGTTCCTTCTTTTCTACTTCTTCTTCTTTGAATCAGAAGAAAACATATACTCAAGCAGCTGAATCTGCTGTCTCTAAACCTACTATCTCAAAACATGCTCAAAATCCTGAGAAAACTGAGAAGAATAATGCTCATACTTCTATTGATAGAAAAGTGAAGAAAAAAATGCAAAAGAAGAAAAACTTTCAAATCTTCAGAAATAGAAGACTTATTCTCAAAGTCTCAATCCAGAACTAGACTGACCGTGTGACCGTGTCTGGGACCAGGACCAAACTTTACAGTTGTCACATTGTCTAAAAGCATTACTTCTGATCATGATTTGTGTTCATCACATTGATCTCAAATCTCATTATTTCAAATATTAAAGGTCTCAGATTCACTTTTCAAATAAAAATCTAGTCTCAGATAAAGAATATGTTTGAATTCTTAGTCACATTTTCATTCTGATCTCATTATTGAAAATGGCATTAAATGAGACTATGAAATCATTTCTCACTTACATAATATCATAACATAGTGCTCATTTGTTGAAAATTCAATAGAGAGTGTTATCAAATATTGTTACTTTTCTGAACACAGATCATAATCAATATCATTTTAATTAAAAAAAAAAAAATGTAAAATACAAAAAATAATAAAAAAACAAAAAACAAAACAACAAGAAAAAATCACAACAAAAAAAAAAAAAAGAGAAAGAAAAAAAGAAGAGAAAGAAAAAGACAGAAAGAGAAAGAAAAATTAAAAAAAAAAAAAAGAAAAGAAAAAGAAAAAAATAAAAAATAAAAATAAAAAAAAATCAAGATCACAGAGCTGCAGCATCTTCAAAATACTCACTCTTCAGAGTCTTCACAATGTTCATCATTAATCATGTATCTCTTACAGTGAGAGTAACACAGCTGTGATGAGTCATTGTCTTAACATCATCTAATAAATAATCAGTATATATCTATATAAATGTGAATAATTAGAAAATATACACTTAAAAAGTGTGGTGAGGGTGAACTCTGCTGCTATTTGAATGATATCAAGAACAGAATACTGAAATCAATGATTCTTCTTATCAATTTCATGAACAAGGCGTGTGAAGATGATCTTGAGAAATATAAGATTCCCTGACTTCTGATAGAAACAGATCTCATGAAGAGACTCTATTTTCATCATATCAGAGACTGAGTATTATTAAAAAGTGTTACTTCAATGCACATGCACTTACTGCAGCAATTCATTCTCTGTGCACATGACTGAGAGTTGCAGCTTTTTCACACTGCATGACTCTCTCTGAGATGCTGCTGCTGATTTGCAATTCACACAGTCTCTCAGTTCAGTACACACTGCGCATATGCAGCCCTGTGTGCTGGGGCTGTGTTGATTATTATGATCTGATGTGATACTCACTTTTCACAGGCTATGGTTCATTTGATTGAGAGAGAGAGAGGAACATGACTGCTGTTTTATTTGAGAGAGAGTGAATAATTAAATCTGTAGAAGATAATTTGATTTCTTCTGCATTTGAAATTTGATTAATCTATACTCTTCAATTTGAGGGTTTCTGAGAGTGTTTTAATAGTTTTCATATCAGCTTGGAATTAGTGGTTAATTGAAGGAGAGAAAAGAGAGAAGAAAGAAATGAGAATAACTTATCTTTATAATATGAAAACAGAGAATTGCTGCAATCATTTACTCTAGTAATAAAGATCTGTTTTCTGCATGTATCTCTGATATAGATTATATGATAACTGTATACAAAGAATATCAACAGTGCATGCATTGAATGAAGATGATGTTGCTATACAACACTGTAGCTGTTTCTGTACATCACTGAAAGCTGTTAATATTTTCTTTAAGTCTCTTTATATTTGATAAGTCAGTAATATATTTCAATACACTCTCTCTTTCATCATCATTATCATCATCATCATCATCATCATTATTATTATCATCATCATCATTATCACTATTACTATCATCATTATTATTATCATCATCATTATCATCATCATCATCATTATTATCATTATTATCATATCATTTCTGACTGTCTCTTCTGCCTTCACTCTTCTTCAACACTCATTAAAATCAATTATGTCATCTCTCTTCAAATATTCTGCGGTTCTGCAGACTATCAAGGCGCGTGAGCACCATCACAGATTGAAGAAAGAGAAGAAGAAGATGTTTAAGCAAGAGAAGATAGATTGTAAGACATGTTATGATGCCTTGAAGAGACTGTAAGAAAGCAGAATGATAATGATTTTAAGTAACACTTCTGATAGATTTAGACTGAACTAAGTATAGAAATAATGCAGATGATGTCACCTGTGAGAGATTGAAGAAGAAGACAGTGAAGAGTCTCATGCAGTAGTGATGAGATCAGAAAAAGTTCTGAGAATGATTTGAGATCAAGATGAAGAGAGAGAGAGAGAAGAAGAGTATTACTATAAATAAGCAGTGATAGAAGAAGATTGAGAGGGTATTAAAGCAGAAGACAAAGAAGTTAAAACTGATAAGTTTTTTATTTATTGAGAGATAACAATTTTTGATAATACTTCTGTTCTCTAATTGATTAGCAGAAGCTGGCAGAGAAGGAGAGAATTGAGATCTTATTCAGGTCTCAAATGCACTCTATGATTCAGGACATTGAGAAGGCAGCCCTGCTCTCTGAGCATGCTAATCTGCTTATCACTGAGGTGGAATTCAAGACAGCAGATCAGGAAATGCAGGATTTTGAGGCACAGATTGACCTGGCTGAAGAGGAGCAGTGAGAACCCTTCTCTGAGAAGGCAGCAGAGAGAGATTTTGAGGTGATTATCATCTCAGATAAGAAGAAGAAGAAGAAGAAGAAGAATGAGAAGTGAATTATGAAGAATGATAAGAAGAATGAGAAAGAGAAGAAAGATAATGAGTAGAAAAAGTTTTTTTCTTTTTATATTAGTTAGTTTAGTTGTAAGTTCATAATTATTAATAATTGAAATTAATTTTGAGTTTTTAAAAATTATTGTACAAGTTGTAATCAAGTCAAGAACAATATATATATATATATATATATTTAACTATCATGATTCACAAATCACTATAATGTATAAGTATCAACATTTTTTCAACATTGATATTCACAATATTAATATATTTTTAATGATATCATCTAGTAATGTAATTTAGTAACACTCTCTTTCACAATATTAATATATTTCAAGAAATATGACAGAGATTAATCAAGATTATTTATTTACTTTTATACATCAATGATATTCAATCTGAGTTAGTACTAAAATTATAACTAAGCTAAGAAACAAGATTATTTTCTCTTATATTAATTCTTCTTACACACATCAGTGATCAGTTATTGAAAATAAATTATTATCTTTCTTAAATTATTATTATATCTTCTGAATTCACTTCTTTTACTTCTATTGAAGATTCACAAACTCTTCAAGAAATCACTGTGAATTACAAAGTCTATGTTATTTACAATTCAACACAGAATACTCTCTTTCAATCATGATAAATAATCACTTCATTCTTCACATCTGATTTCAGATTATGAAATTTATGAAAAACTCAACACAAATATTGAGATGAACTATGAAATAATTATCAACAGATTGCATTGCAGATTACTGAAGAGTCATCTCTCTGCTGCAATCACTGCAACTTCATTCAGAAATATTCATCATGAACTAATCATGACTCTGAAGAAATTTCCTGACATCTGAAGTCATCAGAATGCAGACAACAAAAGAAAAATAATCAGAAAATTACTACTGAGCTGATAAGTTACTCTATCAGATAATAATTTTTAATAACACTAACTTTCTAATTTGAAGAAAATCATGTAAAAATGATCTCATATCAGTACTCTGATTTCACAACTCTTATCTGATAACTTCTGTGAATAATTACTTCACATGTGTATATCTCTGAATCTTTCTCTTCAATCAATTGAAAACTCTGAATTCTGAATACTTCTTCAAATGCTTAATTCAAATCTTCATATTCTACATTGATCCTGTCTTTGATCCAACCTTGAGATACACTATAAAGTCAATATACAATATCTAGAATCAGAGTTGAAGAATTATTGAAGAGTGTCTCTCACAGTGAATGTATGAACTAGTATAAACAATCTTGCATTTATAAGAGTTACATGTTATTACATTGATGAGAACTGAACTTATTAAGAGACATTAATTGAATTTGAATCATTGATCAGTAGTCATACTGAGGATTATATAACAGAGATATTAATGACTGTGATTAAAAATGACTATTGAAATATTAGTCTCAGTCTTCTTACAATTACAACTGACAATGCTGTGAATAACTACACTATGATGAAGAGCTTGAAGCAAAAATTGGCTTTGCATTTCTGAAATGATAAACAAGATCATATTCCCTGCATTGCTCATATAATTCAACTTGTGATACAAACACTGATAAAGAATCTTAATATCAAGACAAAGAATAATGAGATGACTGATTCTTGAGATGAGAATGAGATGAAAGTGATTACTCAAGTAACTTTTGCATTCACTTTACAAAAGATAATGTTTTTTGATAACACTTTTTGATATTGCTTTTTGATAATGCTTTTTGATAATGCTACTGTTAATTTTGAATAGATTGACTAATAATTTAAATATCATAGATTTGAAACATTGCTAATGTGATTTATACCTCTTCTAAACAACAACAATGATTCCATGATATTCAATAAACAAACAAATCAGTCACATCACTGAATATGATACAGAATGTTAGAATATGATGAAGTTCAACATATAAGATAACTGTTCAGACTCTTCAATTATGTCAGATGATTAATCATTGAGTACAACACTCTGATCAGAAAAAGATCCAGATATTGAAACTTTCTGATATGAAGTGAACTCAGTTGAAATATGTGATTGATTTACTGTTTCAGTTTTATAAGACAATAAAGACAGTCTCAATCACTTGTACACTAATACTGCAGTCAGTCTGATGAGTGTATAACAGTTTATTTACTCATCTTGAGAAGCAGTTGAATCACTCAAAAAGAAATTCAGTCTGAGATGATGCTATAGTGCAGGCTATTATTGCTGTAAGAGATAAACTGGCATATTACTACAGCAAAATGAAACAATCTTTTGCAGAGTACTATGCTATAGCAGCTCTACTAGATCCCTTCTGTTGAGTTAACATCTACACTTCTCAAGATTGAACAGAGGAGAAATGAGACTCATATGTCAAATTAGCCCGAGACTACTACAATGCCAACTATCAGAGATTTGAATGAGCAGATGTTTGAGATGTGAAGACAGTGAAATACAATTCCCTAGTAAGTAATGATCTTTGATAATGCTTCATATCATATAGAACTATAATACTAACTTTGAAACAGAACTTACATACATTGATTGCAACTGAAAATCAGGCAAAACTACATACTTGTAAAACTGAATTTAATTGCTATCTTCAAGATAATTCAACAAATTTACACATCAAATCAATTCTAGAGTTATAAAAAATTGTTGAGAGTATATATTCAACTGTTACACTGATGATGTGTGATATTCTGACAATTTCATTGACAGGGGTGAGAATGAAGTGAAAGTTCAACTCAAGTTGAGATATTTATCACTATTACTGAGGACAATTACAAGAAGAAACAATCAAGAAACTCATGATTGTAAAACATGAAATTATCAGACAGTTTAATACCTCTGATCACAGTATATCAGAGAAGTGTAGTTTTCATGAGAAAGTGAAGAATAAACTTGCACAAGAATGTATTTAGTTGTTTCATGAGCATTATCAATAATTGTTACCAAATTCTGATTATATAAGCAATCACTGAATGAACTGAATGAGACTGATTTTGATCTTCAGTCTCAGTCTCATTCTGATTTTGAAAGAATGATCATCTTTCACAGTTTATCCTGGAAAATTACTCTCATTTCACTGTTCTTGAATTAAATCTAGTCATTTTTCACATCATTTCTCTCAGAAATGGTCCATTTTCAGATTTTTTTGAGACTTGGTCCTGGTGGGACTCACGCCAAGAAATGTATAAGACCAGACCAAATGAGACCAAATGTGAAATTCATGGTCCCGCCGGCCAGTCTAGTCTGATGAGTGTATAACAGTTTATTTACTCATCTTGAGAAGCAGTTGAATCACTCAAAAAGAAATTCAGTCTGAGATAATGCTATAGTGCAGGCTATTGTTGCTGCAAGAGATAAACTGATATATTACTACAGCAAAACAGAACAATCTTTTGCAGAGTACTATGCTGTAGCAGCTCTACTAGATCTCTCTCATTGAGTTAATATCTACACTTCTCAAGATTGAACAGAGGAGAAATGAGACTCATATATCAAATTAGTCTGAGACTACTACAATGCCAACTATCAGAGATTTGAATGAGCAGATGTTCAAGATATAAAGACAGTGAAATACAATTCTCTAGTAAGTAACAATCTTTGATAATGCTTCATATTATATAGAACTATAATACTAACTTTGAAACAGGACTTATATACATTGATTATAACTGAAAATCAGGTAAAACTACATGCTTGTAAAACTGAATTTGACTACTATCTTCAAGATAATCTGACAAATTTACATGCTAAATCAATTCTAGAGTTATGAAAAATTGTTGAGAGTACATATTTAACTGTTACACTGATGATGTGTGATATTCTGACAATTTCATTGACAGAGGTGGGAATGAAGCAAAAGTTCAACTCAAGTCAAGATATTTGTCACTATCATCAGAGACAATTACAAGAAGAAACAATCAAGAAACTCATAATTATAAAATATAGAATTATCAGACAGTTTAATACCTCTGATCACAGTATATCAGAGAAGTGTAGTTTTCATGAGAAAGTGAAGAATAAACTTGCACAAGAATGTATTTAGTTGTTTCATGAGTGTTATCAATAATCATTATCAAATTCTGATTATATAAGCAATCACTGAATGAACTGAATGAGACTGATTTTGATCTTCAGTCTCAGTCTCATTCTGATTTTGAAAGAATGATCATCTTTCACAGTTTATCCTGAAAAATTACTCTCATTTCACTGTTCTTGCATTAAATCTGGTCATTTTTCACACCATTTCTCTCAGAAATGGTCCATTTTCAGATTTTTTTAAGACTTGGTCCTGGTGGGACTCACGCCAAGAAATGTATGAAACCAGACCAAATGAGATCAAATGTGAAATTCATGATCCCGGCGGCCAGTCTATTCAGGACATCTTGTAAAGAAATAAGCTAAATTCAAATCTCATTTTCAGAATTAGAAATGAAATTAATCAGCAGTTCTTTTCTCAGTTAATGACTGATATTCAAGTTAAAAAATCAGTTATAGCTTCAATGAAGTCATTCTTCTTTGAAAACTCTATCATTCTGACTACAATGTCTGAATTCAGTGCAGAATTCCTTATTCAGAATGAGAATCTCTGAAAATCAGCAGTATAATCTTTGTTAAACATAAAAATTCTATCTGAGAGAGATGAAAAGTGAGACAAATTCATTCTTTATAATATTTCAGTTGAAATTTTTGACTGTGAAGAAGGAATGCTACTTCTCAAAAATGAATTAGAAGAATACAACTCTATTCAACTGAGAAAAGAGTATGTATGACTAAATTCAATTGAGTTCAGACAAAGCAGAAGAAATGCCTCTGTTCTAGTATATACAAAGATACTTGAACAGTCAAAGATCTCTGAAGTAAGAGTGACAGGTTTGAAAATGAGAGTTCATGAATACGAAGACTTAAGAATGAATCTCAAAGCTCAATCACAGTGTTCAAACTGTCAAAGATATGAACACTTTACAATATTCTGTTTCAGAGACTCAAAATGTGCATTCTGTGCTAGAGATTATAAAACTAGTGAGCATAAATGTGAAACATGCTCAAAAAGAGATGAAATATGTCAACACACTCTACTTAAATGCTGTAACTGTAAAGAAAAACATGCATCTAGCTCAAAAGAATGTATGTTTGCTTCAAGAACTCAAAAGAACTGAAGAAAAGATGAAGCTCAAAGCAAATCTAAAACTGAAGAGAATAGTCAAGTTAGTAAACTCATATATTCAGAGCACTGTCTGAATTGATCAATCAACAGCTGTCAAAGTGAGATCTCTCACATTCAGAATATGTAGGTGAGTTTCTCAATCTCTGATAATTTTGAGAGCCTCTTTAAGTACTATCATGACCACGTTCAGTACGGCCTTCACGGGCCGAAATCGATGTATTGTTATTAGAATTAATAGATGTAGTGATTCTTGTAGCTGTTGTAGCAGTGTTAGCTGCAGAATCTGTATTCTGTAGATTCTTTTTATCTTTTGAAGAATTAAGCTGTGAATAAATCTTCTTCATGACAAGATTAACATTTAATACTACAGCTGTGAATTTGAAATCCTGTATCTTCTCTATCTTCTTCTGAACATAATTCCTTCAATTGTTGAGTAGAACTGAGTAGAAGATATCAAATATTCATGCATCTGAGAGAGAAGTATTCATCATCTTCAATTTTATAATAGCAGACTGAAACTTATCAAAGAATGTGTGTAGATTGATGACCTATGTGTCATCAAGAGATATACATTTCAGAACTGTCTCGCAGTGTAACTGTGTTTTAAGAACAGAGTATTCCTGTTCAATTACATTTCATAGAGTATAAGCAATCTGATTTTCATTATATTTGAAGAAATATGATCTGACACCTGCACTCAAGAAGTTTGAGATGAATATATAGAGTCACTGATTTCTGGCATCTCAGAATGATGCTCATTTGTCATCTCTTTATAGAGGATTCTGAGTCTATTGTTTTTCTATCATATATCAACACTGTGTATCAATCAGTTTCAATTTCATAAAGATGCTTGATGTGATGTAATTGAATGTATCAGTTAGACTGTTTAATCTCATAGTATTCTTGACATCTTTCTTGAATTAAGAGATTATCTTATCAACACAGCTATCTGATTCATAAAGATTGAATTTCAATCTTTCACTGAGACTAGAATTTCATGTGACTGTACAGACTGTTAACATGATGATAGAATAATTATTAACATTCTGTGATCAATCTGTAGAGAATCTCTGTTAACAGAGTTTTTTCAGTTGTTGTTCAAGTTCTAGAACTCTTTACTTCTTCTTCTCTATCTTAAATATTATCTTGAGATGCTTCATCTATTAATCTGATATTGTCTCATCTGAACAGTAGACATCTGAGTGTTCATTATTCTTATCAAGAGAATCAGCTTCATCAAGCTATTAAGTAGATCAGAAAGCCAGCCTGACTGTGTCAGAAGCTGTATTTAAATCAGCTTCAAATTGAGAGAGTGTTTCAGAGCATTCATCAATAAAGCTTTCAAAAGCTACAGAAGAATGTTCACTGATAGAGTATAAGTATAAAGAATCATCATCATCAACTGTAACTATCTCAGTGCAAAGAACACGAGATCACAAACATGTATGTGAGAGAGATTGTATTGAATTCGTCATCTTGATATTCATTTATTGAATTCTTGTCAATATCATTCTCATTTTTTTTGCAAATGTAGTGCATTTTCTACAAGTCTCTTTTTTAAGCAAGCAGTAGTATTATTGATCATCAAGATATCAAACATATTAATACTGATAGAACAAGATGATTTTAACTTCTGATAAGTGTATCAAATGAAGCAGTAGTTCAATAATGATTATATTAACAAGGAATCCCGAATTGGCAGTGATTTTATACAAAACAGGTCTCATAACCTGTGAAAGATGTAAAGCTTGTGTGATTGAAAGATTGCTAGCTTGTGGAAAGTTATATGATGAAAGGATTAGTAAGCCAGATCACGTGACCTGATATATAACACTGATACATATGTCTTTATTTATAAATGAAACTTTTATTTTATATTATCTTTTAATTAATTATTGACATATCATTCTTAATTAGAGTGGCTGCTGAGACTATAAATTTCACGTTTAATCTCAATTAGTCTGAATTTATACATTTCTTAATGTGAACCTCACTGAGACTAATTATTAAAAAAACATGCAAAGTGACTATATATCAGATCTCAAATTGAAATCATGACTTAGAAAAATTAAGAAAGTGATCTCATTTAATTTCATTTAGTCTCATTCTTTGTATAAAGTTACTATTTTTACACATTTTAAGAGTTTTTTTAGACTATTTTTAATTTTTTAAAAAGTAATGCTTTTTAATAACACTTAAATAAGATTCAAAGTCATTTAAAGCAATAAAAATAATTTAAATTGAGAAGTGAAAATCATGATCTCATTGAAAAATGTGATAAGAGTAGACAGTAAGTCTCACTGAAACAGTATGAGACTACTATTTAATGTTAAAACTGTGTAATAAGATCAGTTGAATTAATAATAAGATTATAAAGTATTCTGATTCTGATTTCAGATACAGTCAAACGGTCAGTCTAATCTTAATTAGTTAATAAAATGATGATATTTTCATTTACACTTAGTTTCACAAACATGCTCAATTTGTATAATAAATAGAGAGTGAGATTAGAAGTGTTAAAATATACAGAAATATTCAGATATTTCTTTAATACTTGTATATTTATATTTAATTCAGTTAATATTGAGATTGTCTGTATAGAAGTTTCTTGTTAAGTTAACTATTAACTTTTCTTATATTAACATTGTTAATTTGTATATATATAAGCTATCTATTATTATTATAATTTTAATATTACTCAGAGTCACTGTAATACTATATTTATACTCATATGCAAGAGTTCTTCTGTATTATTAATAGACATAGCTATATTATTTATTACGTATAATATCTGTATTTAAAAGTTCTTCAGAATTGAAAGAAGTATTATTATATAAATATCTTATATATTTAAAATATTAGAACTCTTAAATCTTTTACTAATATTATCTTTATAAAATCTTATTACAGAGTTAGAGTAACTGATAAGCAAGCTTCTATTTATCTAGTAGAAACTCAGTGTTTACTTAGCTAGTCTGTGTTTACTTAGCTAGTCTGTGATTATTTATTTTCTTATTTCTTACATATTATTACATATTTAAATATCTTTTTAATAGATAATTATTTCTAATGAGACGATGATAATTGTTTTTCAAGTATAAGAGGTCTATACTGAATAGATCAGTATAATATATAGATCTTATGTAGTAAAAGTAAAAAATATTTGAGAAGAAAAACAAAAAGAGAAAGTATGAGAATTGATCATTAAAGCAGATATTTATACATGTATGAGATAAAGCTTTATAATGAAAGAAGAGAAACTCCATGAGTTCTTCAGCCGAGAATCGGCGACCGAGAATCGGGGCTTCCGGCAGGAATCTATGAAGTGTAATCGGAATAGTCTTATGATCGGGCGCAGCCCGCCACACTACAGAAGCTTAGCACACTGCATCCGAGCATTGAGTGCTATACACAAGGTCTCATTTATTGTCAACAACATCTCTAAAATATGCTATATAGTTCTTTCAAATCTATTTCTTCAATTTCATTACTTCACACAAACTCTATCATCTTTTTCTTTCACTTGTTTACTTATTTCTTTCAGTCAGCTGAAACAATTGCTTTAGAAATAGTAATACTCTTCATATTTTTTATTTTGCCACTCTTAATGATATTATTATATTCAAAGAATATCACAGCACTTATACTTTTGAGAAAGTATAGGCCACAGTGATCTACACTGTAAACTTTTTCAACTTCTCTTAATTCACTCTGAAATATGAAATCTTGAGCACCTGTGTATTCTGATGCATTCACTTTCTCACTCTTTCTGTAACACACACATTTACATTCTGCTGCAGAATCAATAAGTGTAGACTATCAATACTTCTTATTCTCATGTTTATGATAAATTCAATGTATAATGTTTAGCTTCTTCTCACATTTTCTCACTCATCTGATCATACCCTCTACAAACCCAGTCAACTGTGCATTGCATCAAAACTTGGAGAGATCTCGCATGAAACCCTAGACAATAGAAACAATGCCGGCGCCATCAAGGCCCTCCTTCCTCTCCCTTTCTAAATCACCTTCATTCGCTACCTCTCCCCCCTCTCACACAGAACCTCCTGAGTTACTTTCATCTGATAGTAATCAGCCGAAATCAGATCCAAGTGCTTCAATAGCCGCATCTCAAACACCAGTGTCATTGTCCATCATTCTGTCAAACTTGATCCCGTCAGTTCTAATACTCATATATGCCATTTACATTATCCATCGGATCAGACGGTATACGCGATTCGCGGGAATCAAGAGGTTCTTCCACATATGTGTTTCTTTACCGCAGAATACTATGGACATAGTTTGGAGGGGGAGAAGGAGGGGCATTGATGGATACGTGCATGTCGATGCCAATCAAAATTCCGACCATTCTGTTGAACGAGGTGGATGGGACGAACTGGCAAGTTATGGTGTTAATGGGCATGAAGAGATTGAGATCGAGGGCCAGCAGGACGTGGCCGGAACCGGGAGACCAGTTGAAAGTAAGGGTTATCAACAGGGTGACCAACTTATTGATAGCTTAAGCTCAGGTTTCGATGCCTCCGATGCGGCATTGGATACACCCTTGGAGGACGACGGGGAGGAGCAATTAGACATGTCCAGATATTTCGACCCAATGACGTCAAGGCTGCGAGAAGGCGTCCTTTTTGGCCCTGAGATAGAGATTGGGCGCGAGGATAAGGCTGAATTTGAGGGCAAAGGAGAAAAAGGAGATATCACGGCGTGGATTGATGGCGCCGTTGGTAGGGTTGTTGCGAGGTTTGTCAGTTGGCTGGATGACTGACTTTGAAACCCCTTGTTAGCGTGAGTGCTTGGGTAATGTTATTATTATTATTATTCTTCAATTATAGATGTATGCAGTCAGAGACTATGACATCTACCTGAGAAATTTTAGTTCTCAGGGTTTTTCCTATATCTGTAAAGTTAACTATTATACATTCATCAATTTCAGATATGCAAAATCAGAAAATTCCAGCTCAGAATACAAAAACTGTTTATAAATTACAGTGTTTTAACATCTTCTAATACTTTGAAATCATTTGACAATATCATGACAAAGAAAAAGAGAAATAGAACACAGTCTTAAAGATAGACATATTAAATAGATAGATAGAAAGAAATTGAAAAAAAAAGATAAAGTAAAGAGAGACTGTAATAAAATAAATTATTAAAAGATAGTATATAACTATTTTAATAGACTATATCTGATTAATTTTCTTCTCTTTATATTCAGATAATTCTGAATTTAGTTATTTTCTTATAGCTGCTTAAGTTTCTGATAGAAAGTTTATTAAGTATTTAATTTCTATCTCAGTTAAGAATATGAATCTTATATTTAATTAATTTAGATTATACTTCTCTTTCAATCTGACTCTGAGACTATTGTATAATACATAGTGTATTATAATATAATCAGAATTCTTATTTATATTACAGAATAAGTATTCTATTGAGTCAAATCTATCATCAAATCTTTATATATAAGATTTGAAATAGTCATATTCTAGTTTCAGCTGTATTATAGATGAGAATACTTTCTTTTTATATTTAATTAAATAAGATTTTCACTTAAGTTTTATTTGAAATCTTGAATAATATATACTCTTCTTTTATTTCTATCAGCTTTCATTTCACTTATCTAAATAAGATTCTTTTATTTTTCTCTTTATAAAAGAGTAGAATATAATTTTTTAAATAGATCTGCTTAATTCTGTATACTTTTTTACAGCTGAATCAGTCAATTCATTGTTATGAATATTTATATAAGTAGAAACTCAGTGTAAATAAATTATTAACTTTAATATTCTTCTCTTTTGAATTTTTAAAACAGAGTTTAAGATCAGTTCAAGATTTATTTAATTATTATAAATCTGACTATTTCTATATCTTTTTAAAGTAGCTTAACTATTAGAGAATATTTATATCTCTTTCAAACTATTTTCTCTTTTATAAGATTTTATTTCTATAAGTTTGAAAGCTTTTACTATTATAAATAGTTCAGTATCAAAGACTTCAGATTCACAGTCTAGATTTCAGAAATCTGAGATAAAATTAATATTATCTTCAGTATAAACAATGTCTATGTTTAATTTATTCAGATTCTTATTTTTTAAGTCATCTAAATAAATCAGAATAGAGTCTTTTATATTAATTATAGAAATTCTCTTTAAATGCTGTTCATATTCTTTCTCTTTTAATAGTTCACTTATTTATAAGTCTATAAGAGATTCAAGCTTTTCTCTTCAGAGAGATAACTTTTCATGATTCACTTTTTCAATATTTAAAGAATAAAATTCATTTTTAATCAAAGAGTATAGTCTGTACAGTTGAGAAGACATTTTCTTTAAAGAATTATTTTCATTTCAATATTGAAATCTATTTCAATTCAGTTTATTTCCAGAGTTAATTAATAAAAATGAAGAAGAGACTCTTTCTCTGATTATATAATTTAAGCTTATCTTTATAACTCTTAGAGTATAGTTTATACAGATCTTTTCAAATTTAATAGCAGAAGAAGAAATTGAAGCTTTAATTTTTATTACTTTAATAGAAGATGATTTAAATGCTCTCAGAATTCTTCTCAAGACTCTGTTTTACAAACTTTGAAAGAGTTCAGTGAAATTCTCTTAATTATTTCACTAAACTTGAACTTCATAATCAGCTACTGATGTAATATAGGCTATATATAACTGTCTCATAGTCTGAAAGAATAGACCTCTCTCTGTATTTAATAGTCTGATTATATTATTCAATAGTCTTTCTGTCTTGACAGTTCTTTGTTGAATGTGATATTTAAAATTCAACTTGGAGTTTAATCATACTTCTAATCATTTGACATTTACACTGAGTTTAATCTCTCTATTAAAAAGAGTTAGAGATAGTTCTTTCTCATTGAATCTAGAAAAGAAATGAATTAACTCAGTTTTATTCATATTAAAATGAATTTGATTGATATCTGCTCTAATAAAGATTTTCTTTACAGCTTCTTCAATCACTTTCAAATTCTCTTTAATAATTTTTGATCTGTAGACTAGATCAATATCATTCACATAACTCAGAGATCTCACTATTCTTATATTTCTATTCTTGAATAGATATCTTGAGTAATGTAAAACAATGCTATGAGTGTGCATCTTGAAATAATGTCAGATTGACTGAATAATTAAATATAATAAATGCAGACAGAAGACAGATGAAAGAGATAAAGTAATATAAATAATATCACACTTGTAAAATGTTTTTATAGTATTATGATGAACATATTACTTTTGAAAACAGAATTTTCCCAGCTCTCATTGAAAATTAGTAGTAAAACACCGCAAAAAAATCAAAATATTTATATTTCTCTAGAATTATTCAATTATTATTCAATATGCATCTTTTTCAATCAATTATTATTGAAATATGCATCTTTCTAACCTTTATTATTAAATTCATATATATTCATCAACTCTTTTTTCAATATGTCTTATAACACTGACTGTCTTACTGCTTTACAAGCTTATATAAAGACTTCTACTCTGTGCTTTAGTCTTCTCAAACTACCTGTTTCAGAAGTTCTGAATAATGAAGAGAATCTGTGTAGTATTCACTCTTACTGCTTCTCAGAGCTTTTACTTCTTTCTTCTTCTACTTTATTCTTATTTCTCTATCTGAAAGTATATTTACTTATTACTTCTCAGAGCTTTTATATCTTTCTGAAACTTTTATCTCTTTCTTTCTAAGACTTCTATCTCTTTCTTTCTGAAGCTTCTATCTCTTTCTTTCTAAGACTTCTATTTCTTTCATTCTGAGACTTTCACTTCTTTCTTCTGTAAAGTCAATCACAATAAACAAACAACTATTTATATATATATATAGAGAGAGAGATGCTCGCTCATCTTGATCTTAGAAGAATAAGACAAGATTTACCTTTTTACATATATAATACATAATTAGTATATACTATAGATAATATATACTGCAATTTAATAGCATATCTATTTAAGAATAAAATTCTTAGTTCTTTTAAATTTTACTCTGTCATCAAAGCTATAATACTAATAATTAATCTGAGTTGTAAATAATAAAGTTCAGCTAAGTAATAATCAGTCTGATTAACTTCTCTATATTCTTTCTATTATTGAGAAGATATAGTACTGATAATTAATCCGAGTTATAAATAATAAAGTTCAGTTAACTGATAATTAATTTAATTAACTTATCTATCTTATTATAACACTGTAGCTGATAATCTGTTCAGTTTGTAATAGATGTACTCTATACATATTTATTACACACTGCAATAAAGCAGAATGAATAAGTTAATAAAAGTAACTTCTATCTAGACTGACCGTGTCACTGTGTCTGAAACCAGGACTAGATTTTTTAATAGTCTTATTATCAATTTGACTGATCTTATTACACAGTTTTAACATTAGATAGTAGTTCTATACTGTCTCAGTGAAACTTACTGTCTACTCTTGTCACATTTTTCAAATGAGATCATAATTTTCACTTCTCAATTTAAATTATTTTTATTGCTTTAAATGACTTTAAATCTCATTTAAGTGTCATCAAAAAGTGTTACTTTTTAAAAAATTAAAAATAGTCTAAAAAAAACCTTAAAATGTCTAAAAATAGTAACTTTATACTAAGAATGAGACTAAATGAGATCAAATGAAATCACTTTCTCATTTTTTTCAAGTTATGATTTCAATTTAACATCTGATATATAGTCACTTTGCATGTTTTTTTTTAATGACTAGTCTCAGCGGAATTCACATCAAGAAATGTATGAGATCAGCTCAAATGAAATTAAATATGAAATTCATAATCTCAGTGACTAGTTTACTTCTATTAGATGCTCTGCTCTACTGAGCTGAATAAGTTTACTGAGAAATAAACTTTCTATAATTCTGTTAAAAGATCTGATATTAAGTATATCTACTTATAGATAACAGTAGAGAAATATACTGTTATAATTATAAAAATCTGATAGAATGTAAATAAATAATATTCTAATATTATAAATCAAGTTACACTATACAACTATATTAAGATAGAGAATGTTCTTATAAAAGTATCTATTACATATTATAATAATACTAAAATAAGTCTTAACACAGTTTCTGTTATAGAATAAAAGAATATTATTTCCCCAAGTGGCCGAATGATTAATGTGGCCACCCGGTAGCGCCTTGGCGTGGGAAACCAAGGCGTGTGAGTTTGAAACCCGCAGAGGATACATTAAATCTGGAACTCAAGCACCTCAGGTTTCTAATAAATACAGAGGTGTACAAATCACTTCAATAAATCGCTCTATGTTCCTGGGCTGGGAAGTTATTATCGCATGTATCTAATTGTCACTTCTTTGTATTTCCTATGTTCTTGTTATCTTGGTATGGTCTCAACACCTGTATTTCCTCCTGTATAATCAACACTTGGCCTGTATTTAACATCATGCAAGGACATATCATAAGCTCCGCTTGCATATGAGTATAATGAAAGAAGAATAATAATAATAATAATAAAAGAATATTATTAATTATTAACTACTGATCTTCTATACAGAGATTTTAAAGTATATAAAAGAAAGAGAGTTAATAGGTTTAAGTAGTACTAAGTTTAATTATCAGAGTCTCTTGATAAAGCTGCTGTATTAGATATAATTAAAGAGTTGAAGTAGCTGAAGTCTCAGTGAACTCAGTGAGAAAGTGAGTTAAATAAGTATGAGTATCAGCTCAATTAACAGCAGAAATAGCTGAATAAGTATATTACTCTTATTAATAAGTGTGTTAATAAGCTTCAGAATAATCTTCAGTATTTAATAGATAAAAGAAACTAACTAATAAAGATATAAAGCAACTTTAACACAGAGAAAGCAGTGTTTATTATATCAGGTCACATAATATAACTTACTAATTCTTTCATTATATAACTTCTCACAAGCTAGCAATCTTTTCAATTAAGTAAGCTTTACATCTTTTACAGGTTATAAG